CAGACATGTCAAAGCTAGGTCACCTGGCCAGGAATTGGGAGTCGAGCACTTTTGAGAATAAAGATGTTTTGTTGCCCTCAAAACTTAATACTTCAGGTAAATGCGAGAAATGAAGGAACATTCTGATTTGCACAGTATTGAATGTGACTAAGTCAAGTCCAAGGTTTCAGCCTTGACCCTGGTCTGTGGCTGTGGGCTGATGTTATGTTGTGTAATGTCTGGAGTGTAAAAATGCTAATAATCTGGGGTATTGTTGTCCAGGACACCATGAGAGAGAGAAACTCCCTTCTCGTTTCGAATAGTACCACGGGATTTTAACGTCCACTGTTAAAACCACAGGCAGACGGAATCTTGGTTTAACATTTCATTTGAAGGACAGCATCTCCAACGATGCAACACCCCCACCAGCACTGCATTGAAGTGTCATCTTAGACTATGTGGTGCAAACCCCAGACATGGGGCTTAAACTCAGAGGCAAGAGCACTACCAACTGAGCCAGACTGACACACATTGCTGATCATGGGTTGGGGGTGTGCACTGACCCAGCTGGTCTTGATGAACGCCGTCATTTCCCAACATATTAAATTCACGACTGCTTAGTTAAACAAGAACGACCTTTAATAATTAACATTTCTCTGAGCTTCACAAGGTCTCGCTTGCTGTTGATGTTTGCTTGTTTGTTTTTGTCCGGCTGAACCAATACGAAAAAACGTCCCATCTCTTACCTTTATTTTTGAAGGAAGGAAAACAAAGTGCAGGAGGGGGTTTGTTTTGCCATCGGAAAGTGGAGTGCATTTTAGTGAATAACCAGCCGCCCTTTACACCACCTTCTTCGCCGCTCAGTCTCGAGACACGCTGCCCCAATCATGTCACCCCCATGCCCAGGAGCAACGCAAACCAGAGAAAGATACCAGAGATTGAGGGACTTCAATTATGTGGAGAGACTAGAGAGGCTGGGTTGAGGAGAGATTTAATAGAGTTGTTCAAAATTATGAGGGGTTTTGATAGAGTAAATAGGGAGAAACTGTTTCCCCTAGCAGGTGGGTTGGAAACTAAAGGAAACAGATGCAAGATCATTGGCAAAAGAACCAGAGGGAAGAGGAGGAGAATTTTTTTTATGCAGCGAGTTGTTACGATCTGAAATGCACTGTCTGAACGGGTGGGGGAAGCAGATTCAATAATAACTTTCAAAAGGGAATTGAATAGGCTACTTAAAAAGGAAAAAAATTGCAGGACTATGGGGGTAAGGAGAGGTTGAAAAGGCAGGATTTTAGGACAGATAATAATAATATAATCAACAAAAATAACACTTGGAATAAAAAGGCCCTCTTCAGCCTTGCTCCTCCCTACTTTTGTGGGCTGCTAACTCCATATAGGCCTGTCTGCTCCTCCGCCTTCTTCCTTAAAAGAAAATGATGTCTCACAGAAAAAAAAATGCGAGAGGAAAATCACACAAGGTCAATATCGAAGAGAAATGAAAAACGAGGTTGAGATTCGAACAAATCGTGACATGAAAAGCACTGTATCAAACAAAATGCGAAGGCTATTATTTTATTTGGGGCACGAGTTCCAAACTTTGCACAAATAACTTAAAACTTGATAAGCCGCACCAAGCTCCGTGTCCTTATCAGCCCTCTCCTCACCCGGCCTCCTTCAAGGCCCGTCTCAAGACCCTCCTCTACGATCGGGACTTTCTTCATCCTCCTACCCCATCCTCCCCACCCTCCATCCCTGCTGATCCCAACCTCCAGCTTGGGACCTAATCCCTGACTGTCCAGCACCTAGGGACGTCCTCCCGATGTGAAAGGTGCTATACAAATGTAATTTGTTATTGGTATTTGAATTATGTTGCTGTGTACAAATTGGCTGCCACATTCGCCTACAAAATACTCAATTTTTGCAAAGGATTTTGAGATGTAGTTTACGTTAATTTAATGTATTTTAATATGTATGTCAGCCTGGCAGCAGTAGCACTCTCACCTTGGAGTCAGAAGTTATCAGTTCAAACCCCGTGTTAGTCTTGGAATCACATAGTCGAAACTGACATTCCAATGCAGCGCTGAGGGTGTGTTGCATTGTTAGAGATGCCGTCCTTCAGATGAAATGTTAAACCGAGGTCCCTTCTGCCTGTTCGGTTTGACGTTAAAGTTCCCATGGCGCTATTCGAAAAGAGAAGAAAGTTTCTCTTTCCCGGTGTTTTGTCCAACAATTGGTCACTCACTCCATGCCTATTTGTAGGACATTGCTGTGCACCACTAGCTGCCACGTTTGCTTATAAAATACACAGTTTACACTTTACAGCATGTCCTGTGAAGAGCGTTGAGACTTGAATTTTCAAATTCAAGGATTATCATTATTATTATTATTCACGGGGCTGGGGGAAATCATAGCCAAAGTTATTACACCTAGAGGAAGTTCAGGGCTGTGAGCGCATCACATGGGGCGACCAGAGGGAGTGCGAATGGGAATAGAAACAGTTGAGGAACACAGGTCACATACCAGTTGATGAACTCTTGCTGTTCATGAACCGTTCTCAACAAACATCAGTGTTCCTGAAACAAGGTCACACCAGCTGGGATTATATGTGTGTGTGTGTGTGTGTGTGTGAGTGTGAGAGAGTGAGAGGGTGGATTTAAGGAGCTTCACTTTCGAGTGAATTTCTAACAACAACAACAACAAATGACATTTACATTGGGAGGACGTCCCTTGAAGGAGCCAAGGGAGGGAGCAAGGCGAAGGGATTGTGGGATGCAGTTCCAAAGGGTGGGAGCAGAGAGACTGAATGCCCGACCGCCGATGGTGGGGCGGGCCAGGTGGGGGATATGGAACAGGCCGGAGCCTGCTGAGCGGAGTGAGCAGATAGGCCTATATTGAGTTAGCAGGTCACAGAAGTAGAGGGGAGCAAGGCCGTAGAGGGCTTTGAAGGCGAAGATGAGGAATTTGAACTCTATACTCTGGGGGATGGGGAGCCAGTGGAGCCGGGTGAGGGTGGGGGTGATGGGGTCACGGAGTCCGATGCGAGGGAGGACACGAGCTGCAGAGTTCGAATGATCTGCAGCTTGTGGAGGTAAGAGTTCAGAAGACCGACAAGTGGGGAGATAGTGTAGCCTAGATGTAATGAATGCGTGGATGAGAGTCTCGTTGGCCTGAGGGGAGAGGCAGTGGCAGAACCGGACAATGTTGTGGAGGTGGGGGAAGGCAGAATGGGTCATGGCACAGATGTGGGGTACAAAGGGTCAAACAAGACGCCAAGGTTCCAGACTGGCTCAGTGCGGTGCAGTGTGCATCTTTGGATGGTGATGCTGAGATGTGGCGGTGCTGACAGGAGCCAATCAGGAGGGCCTCGGTCTTGTTGACATTCAACTGAAGTTAGCTCTCATCTAGGACATTATGTCTGACAGACATTCCATCAGGTCAGCAATGGTTGTGGAGGCAGAGATAGAGTTGGGTGTCATCCACTTACATGTGGAAGTTGACCCTATGTCTGCGGATGATATCACCAAGAGGGAGTATGTAAGTATGTAGATATTGAAGAGGAGAGGACCAAGGACAGAGACCTGAGGTACACCGCAAGAGACTGCATTCCTTAGGGCTCTGTTATTGATCCTCTCCTCAGCTGGATAAATTGATAGACCAGTTTAATTGGGGGACACTGGGAGAGAGAAACTCCTTTCTTTTTTCAAATAGTGCCATAGGATCTTTAACATCCACCTGAGCAGGCAGATGGGATCTCAGTTGAATGTCTCACATGAAGGACGGCATCTGCGATATTGGACCCAGGCATCCGCGTTAGACGGGGTTTGCCCTGTACCTTATCTCAGGTTAAGATTCCGTGTTTTCTTGGGCTCGAAAACAGCCCCTGAGGGAGTGAGTAATGCGTGTAAGGAACGTGATCCGATTGCCCTGGTCATCCAGCTTTTCATCTCCCTCTGTTTGTCACATTCACTGAACTGACACGCTCAAATATTATAGAATCCTGAGCCAAAATAAGGCAGGCACTGAAATATCGCAGATAGAGATGGTCCTTCAAAGGAAACGAACAGCTGGTCCCAGTCACAGACAGAAATACATTATCTAAGCTTGTATCAATAGGTGCTCTGTCGAGCCCTGCTATTTCACCCACAAAATGTGCAGTCAATTGATTTTATAATACATCCTGTGAAGCACTTTGAGACGTCTCAACAACGTGATCCAATGCAAAGCTTATTATCATTATTATTATTAAGGCTACAATCATAATAATGATTCTTTTATTTGGTATAGGGCTTTGTGATGTCATTGAACCATCTCAAAGCACTTCACAGGGTTCACTGTAAAGGGTAAATTCTTTACAGTAAATCTGTGTATCTGTAGGTGAATTCAATAGCCCGTATGCACTCAGTAATATGTGTGTGTGTCAATGTGTATGTGTTAGCGTGTGTGTGTATATATCAGTGTGTGTGCGTGTATGTCAGTGAGTGTGTATCAGTGTCAGTGTGTGCATGTCAGTGTGTGTGTCAGTGTGTGTGTCAGTGTCAGCATATGTGTCCGTGTATGTGTCAGTGTTAGAGAGGGTGTCAGTGTCAGCGTCTGTGTCAGTGTGTGTCAATGTCAGTGTGTGTGTGTGTCAGTGTTAGGGTGTGTGTCAGGGTTAGCGTATGTGTCAGTGTGTGTGTGTTAGTGTCAGAGTGTGCGTCAGTGTTAGTTTGTGTGTCAGCACGTGTGTGTTGTAAATCACTCCAAGCGCTGACAAAACTCTGATCAGCTTCTAACGCAATCGCTATTTGCACATTGCATCACTTTGTCACTCACTTCTCAAGTTTCCGATGAAAAGGGAAAAATAAACACACTCACCCCACACCATCCCCCATCCCCACGGCCACCCCCACCCCCCCATCCTCCCCGCTCCCTCCCTCTCCTCTGTTTCCATCAATCCCATCAACTCTCAGCTCGGACGTTCCAATCCAGAAAGGTGGAGGGGGTGAAGGGGGGAAAACAGCGGTGAAATATCCCTAACCATTCCCGGTAATTGAAGACGGGGAACACTGGATGGGTGAGCGGGGGAAGATCGCCCTGAGAAAAATCGGAACGCCGAGCCCTGGTTCCACGGAATAAATCCTCCAATCGAACAGAACAGGGATGGAATATCCTTGTCACCCCTGTGTGTCACTCACATGATGCTGTGATAATATTCCCTTTGCCTTATATAACGGACAACGGGAGGCTGGCTGACTGCACTCTTAACACTTGGCACTGACAGAACCCATCTCCCTCCTCTCTCCCGAGACAACATTCCCACGACCACGCACAGGAGAATCCGGGAATCTGTCAGCAAAATGAGCTGCCCGCTAAACGGTGTCAATAGCAGCCTCCTGGATGCCGAGGGGAGTTTCATGTTCACCTCGGAGTCTGTGGGAGAGGGACATCCTGGTAAGCCAAATGTCACCGTGCCTTTAAGACATACACTGGGAGAGAGACAGAGAGCCTGCAGCAGGTGTCAGCTCACTCACCGCACACCTGAACCTGGAGACACGATCAGGCTGACTAGTGAGGGCTAACAAGGTATCTGCACAGTTAACAGGTGTGTCAGCATGGCTCAGTGGTAAAACTCTCGCCTCTGAGTTAGAAGGTTGTGGGTTCAAGCCCCACGTTGGGATTTGGAATCACATAGTCTAAGCTGACGCTCCAATTCAGTGCTGGGTGGGGGTGTTGCAACGTTAGAGGTGCCGTTCTTCAGATGAGACGTTAAATTTAGTTCCCGTTTGCCTGTTCAGTTAAAGATGCCAAGGCATTATTCGAAAAAAGAAGGGAGTTTCTCTCTCCCGGTTTCCTAGCCAACAATCCCCCAGATAAATTTAGTCACTCACTCCATGGCTGTTTATGGGACATCGCTGTGCCCACATTGGCTGCTGCTTTTCGGCCACAAAATACAGTCACTCCATTTTACAATATATTCTGTGAAGCACTTTGAGAAGTCTCGATGACATGATAAGGCGCTATATCAAATGCAAGAATTATTATTGTGATTATTATTATGTGGCAGGTTATCTGAACAGTGAGGGGCTATGTACATGCTTGCACTCATCTTAGCCCCATCACTGGAATTGATTCTGAGACGTTACACCTCGAAAACGGCGCTATTTAAATGCAAATTATTGTTGGTTACTGTAACCGCAAGTCCCTGCTCTGTTGTATGGACATATTTATCCAATTCCTTTTGAAATGTTCTTTTGAACTCACATTAAACGGCTACTTCTTCCAATAACCCTCTGGCTGTGTGTGGCTGTTTTTCTAATCCCCCCTTAACACAGGACACAGTAATAATCTTGGGTTTATGCCCCATTAGGCTGGTAAAATGCCTCTTAAAATCTTTCAATGTTTTGATTTGCTTTGCTCCGTGTGTGTGTGTGTAACAAATAGACAACTATTCCAGCAGGCAGTAAGACACCTCTGTCCACTATGTCAACTTGACTCAGTTGATAGCACTTTCGCCTCTCAGTCAGAATGTTGTGTGTTCAAGTTTCAATATTGAAGACTTTGAGTTCACACAATCCAGGCTGACACTCCAGTGCAGTGCTGGGGGGAGTGCTGCATTACAATAATAATCCTTGCATTTAATATGACACCTTATCTTGTCATTGAGATGCCTCAAAGCGCTTCACAGGATATACTGTAAAGTGGAGTGACTGTGTATTTTGTGGGTGAAATGCAGCAGCCAATTGCTCATGGCAGTGTCCCACAAACATTCATGGAGTGAGTGACCAAATTATGTTTTTTTTTGGAGGGATTATTTATTACGCGCAAAAAGCAATCGACCAATCGATTAACAATCGGGTTCCTACTTACTGCTAGGTAAACAGAGATGCATGGAGTAACAAACTTGCCTAAGGTTTCGCCACACCCGGGAATTAAACCCGGGTCCTCTTGCTTGCGAGGCGAGTGCGTTTACCACTAAACTACAGAACTGTCCGAGGTGCCATCCTTTGGTTGCGACATGAAAGTGTCTGATATTAATGGAGCGTGTCTTCTCTCCTTCAGATAAGATCTGTGATCAGATCAGCGATGCCGTTCTTGACGCACATCTCCGTCAGGACCCTGACGCCAAAGTAGCGTGTGGTAAGCTACACGCAGCAAATACTCAGTCCGCACACAAGAGGATGCTGCACATTCTTCACATCAGACATACAATCCAACTCCACTAATGATCCTATGATACAATTGAAAAAGAGAAGGGAACTTGTCTCTTCCTTTGTGCCTGGCCAACAATCTCCCAGATAAAATTGGTCATTCACCTCACGGCTGTTTGTGGGACCCTAATGTGTTGCAAACCACGTTTGCTTTCACTTTTCAGTGAAGTGCTTTGAGACATCCTATTGACACGTATCAAATGCAAGCAATATTATTATATCAATGTAAATTGTCAGGAAAGAATCAAGACATTGAGTGTCAGCTCTATGTGTGCTACACATTTAGCCCATAAAATACACAGACACCCCACTTTACAGGATATCCTGTATGTATTATGATAAGGTGCTATATCAAATACAAGGATTATTATCATTGCAAACCTGGTGGGGAGGACATGCTCACGTGTAACCCTATTGTCTCCCTGCCCAGTGTTCATTCACCTCAATGGAAAGAGTCTCCAGGCACCGATCAGAGCCCCGAAATCTCTCTTAGAATCATAGAGATGTATAGTGACGACAGTTCAGCTCATGTTGTCCGCGCAGGCTTTTTAAAAGAGCCCTTCAATCTCAGAAGGTGTCAGCCTGGCTCAGTTGATAGCACTCTCACCTCTAATTCAGAAGGTTGTGGGTTCAAGCCCCACTTTGAGGATTTGAACTCACATAATCCGGGGAATGGGGTTGGCAGGTGCTGTCCTTTGGATGAGACGTTAAACCAAAGTCCCGTCTGCCCGTTCAGGTGGGTGCTTTTTTCTTTTTTACCATCCCATGGGAAGAAAAAAGGATTTTCTCCTGATGTCCTGGTCAACTAACTCACAGATGAAGTTGATGATTCACCTTATGGCTGTATTTCGGACATTGCTGTGTGCAAATTGGCAGTCACTTTAGCTTACAAAATTACGATCTGATAAGGCGTTACATCAAATGCAAGTATTATTATTAGTAGTTATTTACCATTTCTCTTCTGTTCCCCACAGAAACAGTCTGCAAGACGGGGATGGTGTTGTTATGTGGAGAGATCACCTCTCGAGCAGTTGTTGATTATCAGAAGGTGGTGAGAGACACCATCAATTTTATAGGATATGATGATTCCGCTAAAGGTGAGTGTGAGAATCATAGACACAATGACATATAGACAGTCTAAGTTGCTGCTATCTCATCCACTGATTGAGCAGATACTCTTCCCACTCAGCTCCCGTTTACTCTGCACTAACGGGTAGGGTGGTCCTAGCTGGACAAGCAGCGGGAAAGCTTCCCAGATGGCAATATCAATGGCAAACTATGCAGTTTTCGCTAGTTAGATTCCAGTAGTTACCCCAACATATGCTCTTGGGTCCCCCAAGCCTTGGCTCTTGCCAACCTGCGCCTAATATTTTCCGGAATTAGGTAAGCAGGATGTATCCCTCCAGGGAGAGAGTGCGCATTCCATTCCATCAATCTATTTCTGGGATTTCCACGTGTAGGTGGGATGTATGGAATTCTCAGTTTGGTTTGGACACTCTTAAGCACAGTGATGGGTTTCCGCATGTGCCAGACACCTGGCTGACCAAAAAAAACCAAAGGAAAATGTCAGAGGGCACTTCATTAAGGAATGTAACATTTTAAATGGGATCAAAAAAAAGTAAACCCAGAACAATACTTTCTGAAGCACTAAAGACAGTAGAAAAAGAGGACACAGGTTAAACTAAATTAACTTTTATTGTAAAGTGTAGTGACTGTGTATTTTGTAGGAGAATGTGACAGCTAACTTGTCACAACAACATCACACAAACAGCCATGGAGTGAGTGATCAATTGTAACTGGAGGGATTGTTGCCCAGCACACCTTCTCTTTTCGAATAGCGCCATGAGATCTTTAACATCCATCTGGGCAGGCAAATGGGACCTTGGTTTAACATCTCATCCGAAGGACAGCACCTCCAATAATGTTCTGTTGTGTATTGTCTGTGTGTCAGGGTGTAGGATGGATTTGCCGCTAACGGTGAGTTGTTCACCCACACACAGGCTTTGACTTCAAGACCTGCAATGTGCTGGTGGCTTTGGAGCAGCAATCACCGGACATCGCACAGGGAGTCCACCTGGACCGCGACGAGGAGGACATCGGAGCTGGAGATCAGGTGTGTTTGGCAGTGTGGCTCAGTCAGTCACACCTCCCAATGCCCTCTCTCTCACACATTGGAAGGACGCTCCCTGCTTACCTAATCCCAGAGAGTATCAGGCACTGGTGAGCTGGTGGCCAATTTGTTCTGGTCAGCCGGGTGTCTGACATGTGGAAACCCATCACCGTGCTTGAAAATATCCAAAGCAAACTGAGATTTCCATGAATCCCACCTACACATGGAAATTCCAGAGATGGAATGTTGCAATGGAATACGCACTCTCTCCCCGGAGCAACACATCTTGCTTCCCTAATTCCGGAAAGTATTAGGCGCAGGTTGGCAAGAGCCAAGGCTTGGAGGACCCCAGAGTGTGCGTTGGGGTAACTGCAAACCAAGGTCCTGTCTATTTAATTGTTCAGTTGGATTTCAGTTGGATTTGAATGATTCCATGGCATTATTGAAAAGAGAAAGGAGTTTCTCTTCATGTCCTGGCTCAAAATTCCCCGGATAAAATAGGTCATTCACTTCACAGCTTCACATTTGTGGAATGTTTCATTTTATCCATAAAATACATACATACATTTACTTGCAGTAAATCCTGTGAAGTGCTCCTAACATGAAAGGTGCTATACTAAGTGCAAGGATTAATGTTAGATCATTACTCAAACAGAACCTGCCATCCCCTTTCATGTGCAAAAATCACTTGAATCTACGACTGTTTGTGGGACACTGCTGTCCGCAATTGGCTTCCGCACTTCGCCCACAAAACATAGATTCAAATCGCTTACAGTATATCCTGGGAAGTGCTTTGAGACGTACAATGACGTGATAAGGCGCTATATCAAATGAAAGGAATATTATTATTATTTTATCTACAAAATACACAGTCACTACCACTTACAATAAACCTCGTGAAGCACCCCTGATGTGAAAGGCGCTATATTAAGTTCAAGAATTATTGTTAGATCATTACTCAAGCAGAACCTCCCCAATCCCCCTTTCATGTGCAAAACCACTTAGGTCAGGGTAGCCCAGAATTTCCCTTGATCTTGTAGTGTAAGGGTTAACCTGAGAGCCGGGTGCCAGCGAAGAGCTGTGAACAAACAGCCAGGTCATGTTGTTTCAGAGCAAAGCGGGTGCCTCTAACCATGCAACCATCGCTCCCTGTTGCATCACCCAAACAGTGCTGTGAGGGATAGCTTCACTGGGCAGCTGTGTGCAACCTCAGGGCTCGGGGTTAGTGTGGGGGTAGTGAGCATCCAACACAGTCACCGTGACTCCTGCGCGGAGTCATATTATGACAATATATTCCTTGAGTTTGGTATAACGCCTTATCACATCTCAAAGCACTTCACACAAACAGAAATGGATTAACTGTGTATCTGTAGGCAAAATGCAGCAGTAAAATCCTGTGAAGCACTTTGAGATGTCTCGACTATCAAATGCAAGGATTGTAATATTACTATTGTTAGTTACAAAGTGAAGGGCACCAGTAATTCGCACAAGTATTATTAGTGTATTATTATAATTATAAACCCCACTCAGGTCTGAAGGCATTGTATGAAACTGCAAGATGACATGTCAGAATTGAGCCTGCCTTCTGTGGCAGCCTCTAGTCCGGTTCCTCAGCCAGGCGGGTCCGTAGCCAGTAGTCCTGGGCATTGTGGATGACAACACAACCAGTTCATTGGCAGGACCTGAAAGAGCGGACCAGTCACTAGGGGCAGGGACTCCTCCCACTCAGCTCCTATTAACCCTGCAAGCCGAAGCCCTAACAGGTAGGGTAGTTCCAGCTGGACAAGCAGCAGAAAAGCTTTCCAGACAGCGATATCAATGGCAAGCTCTGTGGTTTTAGTTGGTTAGACTCTAACACTTACCCCAACGCACACTCTGGGGTCCCCTGAGCCTTGTGTTTTTGCCAACCTGCGCCTAATACTCTCCGGAATTAGGTAAGCACGATGCATCCCGCCAGGGAGAAAGAGCGTATACCATTCCAACAATCAATCTCTGGAATTTCCATGTGTAGCTGGGATGCATGGAATTTCCAGGTTGGTTTGGATATTCTTAAGCATGGTGATAGGTTTCCACGTGTAACAGACAGACACCCAGCTGACCAAAAAAAATCTTTTGGTATACAGATGAAAGGCTAATGTATTATTTAATGGCCTGGCTCTCACCTCTGAGTCAGAAGTCTGTGGGTTCAAGCCCCATATCAAGATTTGGAATCACATAGTCTAAGCTGACCCTCCAATGCAGCGCTGGGGGTGTTGCATTGTCAGAGGTGCCGTCCTTCAGATGAGACGTTAAATCGAGGTCCATCATTGGAAAAAGAGAAGGGAGGATCAAGGATAGTGACGGCTCAACCATTCTGATTAATTCCTTTGCAGCACTTACACATAGCGGCCAAACAGGGGTTTATTGTTAATCCGTGTGTTTCAGGGCCTGATGTTCGGTTACGCCACCAACGAGACGGAGGAATGCATGCCTCTGACCATCATCCTCGCACACAGACTTAACGGCAAAATGGCAGAGCTCAGACGTAATGGATCTCTACCCTGGCTGAGACCCGACTCCAAGACTCAGGTTCGAAGTGTTTCATACAAGGGTACAGAGCACAAGGGGGGCCATTTGGCCAATCGGCTCCATCGTGTGGTGCTGCAGCGTAATAGTTAGCGCGCTTGCCTCGCAAGCGAGAGGACCCAGGTTTGATTTCCGAACGGGGAAAAACCTTAGGCAAGTTTCCTTTACTCCACACGTCTCTGTTTAACTAGCAGTAAGTAGGAACCCGGTTGTTAGTTGGTTGGGGGATCACTTTCTGCGGGTAATAATCCCTTCAAAAAAACAATAATAGTGACTTGGTCACTCAATCCGTGACTGCTTGTTAACCCTGTGCCGGCTGCATGTTGTGTGTACAGGTGACAGTGCAGTATGTCCAGAAGAACAACTCTGTGATTCCCACCCGCGTTCACACCGTGGTCATCTCGGTGCAGCACGACGAGGACATCTCAGTAGAGGACATGCGGGTGGCTCTGAAGGAGAAGGTGATCAAAGCAGTGGTGCCCGCAAAGTACCTGGATGACAAGACAATCTATCACCTCCAGCCCAGCGGCCGCTTTGTGATCGGAGGTCCTCAGGTTAGTGGCTCAGAGTTTTGTTCGTTAAAGAGCGCTACACAACAGGCTCAGGCTTTGCCCAAATTTGGGTTGATGCTCTGCTTCACCAAACGTTTGATCAACAGATCAAGGCCCCGTGCATTGTGGTTAGCGGGCTCACCTCGCAACCAAAAGACCTGGGTTCGATTCCCGGCAGTTTATCTAGCAGTAAGTAGGAACCCGTTTGTCCCAGGGGTAATAATTCCTTAAAAAAAAAATTGGTTACCATTTATTGGCTGCCGCGTTTCATCCACAAAATATACAGTCAATTCACTTTACAGTATATTCTGTGAAGCGCTTTGGGATGTCTTGAAGGCGAGATAAGGTGCTATATCAAATGCAAGGAATATTATTATTATATACACCCACACATATACACACACAAACATTCATACACACACACGTGTGTATGCGCACACACATACACACGCATGACGTATATGCACACACACAGACACACAACACACACACATATACACACACACAAAAACACACACACAATGCTTATATAACATGCACAGACACACATGGCATATATACACACACACATGGCGTATTACGCATGCACCTCACACATACACACACATACACACATATACACACCACATGTATGTGCGTTCCCTGAGTCCTACTCGTGGTGTTGTGAGTTGTGTGTTACAGTACGTGTCTCTATGCACAGGGAGATGCTGGGGTGACAGGACGGAAGATCATCGTGGACACTTATGGTGGTTGGGGCGCCCATGGTGGTGGGGCCTTCTCAGGGAAGGATTACACCAAGGTGGATCGTTCCGCAGCCTACGCCGCTCGCTGGGTGGCCAAGTCACTGGTCAAAGCTGGTCTGTGCCAACGCGTGCTGGTGCAGGTGAGAGTCTGAGCTGGAGCCAGCACAGGGCGTGATAGGCAACAACAACTTGGATTTATATAGCACCCTTCATGCGGGGTAGGATCCCGGGGCGCTGCCGGCATGACAGGCAGTCAGGGGCACGCCATGCACTCAGTGGCTGATGCTAAAAGTGTGTGTGTATATATCCCCATTGTGTGAGTGTGTACATACAAACTGTGTGTGTGTGAATACGTTGTCTGTGTATATACGTACTGTGGTTTGTATGAGCTATGTGTGTCTGTGTGTATATATACCTTGTGTGTTTAGGTATGCACTGTGTGTGTGTGCGCGTACATTATATACTGTGTGCATGTGTTTTTATATAGGTGCCCATTGTGTGTGTGAGCATGCATGCGTACGTGTGTGTGCTGTGTATATACGTGCTGTGTGTGTGTGGGTAAGTGTGTATACTCCTCTTGGCTGTAATATTCCTCTTAGGGTTGGATGGAATTTGCATGGTTTTGAGCACCTCACAGATAATCATTGCAATACTGTAGTGCCTGGTTTGAAGTCTGTACAGGTTTGTGAACATCACACCAGTTCTAGCCGAGCTCCACTGGTTCCGTATCGCTGAACAGATCGATTTCTAGATCCTCAGACTCGTTTTCAAATAGCTTCATGCCCTGGCAGCTCCCTACCTCTCCGACCTGCTTATTCTCCAACCCACTGCCCGCTGCCTCCACTCAATTGGCTCTGGCCTCCTGCTTGTCCATCATGTCCTCTGCTCCACCATCAGTGGCCGCACTTTTAGCCACCAGGCCCCGACACCCTGTAGGACTTTCCCTCAATCCCATTGCATTGCCCCCTCATTCTCTATCTTCAGGTCACACCTGAAGACTTTCCTCTTCGACCATGCCTACTCTTACTTCACCCTCCGCCATTGTCAAGCGTTCCGAGGCACTGCCCTGTGTGAGGAGCATTATATAAATGCAAGTTGTTGTTGTGCGCGAGTGGGTTTGTTTCCTAAACGTGTGCTGTCATGGGAACTTGCAGGTTGCATACGCCATCGGTGTGGCCCACCCTTTGTCCATCTCCATCTTTTCCTATGGGACCTCACAAAGGAGCGACAATGAGTTGATGGAAATTGTGAGGGAGAACTTTGACCTTCGACCTGGGGTCATCGTCAGGTAAAGCCCAAAGTTACTCATAACAATATAAACCGATCATAATCCTTGCACTTGATACGATGCATTTTCATGTCAGGAGGACATCTCAAAATGCTTCACAGGATTTACTGTCAATGGAGTAAAATAGAGGTTTTATTCATCAGCAGGGCCTAGAAGGGCAGTCTTGTCATTGGGGGGAAAGGGAACCATCCCACTCAGCTCCTGTTAACCCTGTAAGCCAAAGCCCGAGCTGGTAGGGTGGTCCCAGCTGGATAAGCAGCGGGAAAACTTGCCAGACAGTGTTATCAATGGCAAGTTATGTATGGCTTAACTGGTTAAACTCCAGCATTTACCCCAATGCACACTCTGAGGTCCCCAAGTCTTGGCTCTTGCCAACCTGCACCTAATACTTTCCGGAATTAGGTAAGTAGGATGCTTCCCTCCAGGGAGACAGTGCACATTCCATTCCAACAATCTAGCTCAGGAATTTCCATGTATATTCCAGACCCATTTCTATCCCACATCCATGTCATGATCCGCTCTGCCTTCCCCCACCTCTGCAACATCACACGGCTCTGACACTGCCTCACCCCTCATTCATACATTTGTAACATCTAGGCTTGACTACGCCAACTCCCTGCTTGTCAGTCTTCCCAACTCATTCCTCCACAAGCTGCAGATCATTCAGTACTCTGAAGCCCATGTTCTCTCCTGCACGAGGCTATACCCTCGCTCGGCTCCACTGTCTCCCCATCCCCCAGAGGATAGAGTTCAAAATCCTCGTCCTCGCCTTCAAAGCCCTTCACAGCCTTGCTCCTTGCTAGCTCTGTGACCTGCTAATGCCCTATCAATCGGTCTGCTCCCTCCACTCAGCAGGGCCTACTTCCCTAAACCGCACCTGATCCCAACACCCTGCTTGGGTCCAAATTCCTGACTGTCAAGAACCTTAGGACATTCTCCTGACGTGAAAGGCTATAAAAATGTTATTTGGTGGTGGTGTTGGACAGGTGGGATGCATGGAATTCTCAGTTGGGTTTGGATACTCTTAAGCCTGTGCAGTGCTTTGAGACATCCTCCCAATGAGAAAAATTACAAGGATTATCATTGTGATACTAATATCAATATCCCATCTCGATTAGAGAAACAAACATCTATCTTTTCCTTTCACAGGGACTTGAACCTGAAGAGAGCCATCTATCAAAAGACCGCTTGTTACGGACACTTTGGCAGGAACGAGTTCCCCTGGGAAGTGGCCAAGAAACTGGTCTACTAATCTGATCCCACCCCTGGTTACCAGACTGGTCACCATCTCCAGATCCAAATTCCACTTTGACTTGCCCACAGCAACGATCAATTGATCTAGATTCAGTGTTTCTCTAATTCGGCCAATGATTTAGTGTGGCGAAAACAAGCCCCCAACTCGCATCCTCCAACCCCCCTCCCCGGCTCAGGGTGAGGGATGGGATGGGAGGGAGGGAGGGAGGGATTGTGTGTGTGTGTGTGTGTGTGTATGGAAGGAACGCAGAGCAGTGCATGTTTGTCATTGTAGTTCGAACACTATTGGGCCCCATTGCTGAGGAGGGGCAACCGGGCTACAGCTCCCAAGGAGCTTCCCAAGGGAGGGAGGGTGGGCATTCAGACATACAGGCACTCTCCCCTTCCCTCTCCATCTCTCTCCGCGTGTCAGCTGGCTCAAATGGGGGGGGAGGGGGAAGTGAGCCAGATTAATTGGAGTTGAGGTCAGATCAGTCGTGTACTAATAGAATGGTGGAACAGACTCAAGGTGTTGAAAGGCCTCCTCTTGTTCCTATGTTCCTAATACAAAAAGCCGCACACTGAGGCCACCAGTGCCTGATTCCCATATCGGGATACTTCCAACCACAACTGGGCAATCCTTTAATTTCAGGAAATAGATGTAGAGAGAAGGAGAGGCTTAATCCTTACATTTGGTACAGCCCCTTATCATGTCTTCCAAATGTCTCAAAGCACTTCACAGGATTGACTCTAGTGGATTAACTGTATTTTTCCAGGTGAATGCACCAACCAATCTGTGCACAGCAACATCTCACAAACAGCCATGAAGTGAATGACCAATTTCATCCGGTTGATTGTTGGCCGGGACACTAGGAGACAGAAGCTCCCTTATCTTTTCGAATAGGACAGCGGGATCATTAAACAGACAGGAACTCGGTTTAACGTCTCATCCAAAGATGATTTAACAGAACCTCTGACAATGCAACACTGGAGCATTATCCTAGACTGTGAGCTCAAAGTAGCACCTGACCAGGGTAACCCACTTTGAACAACAGAACAGGCATTGTGGGGTGTGTGGACCTTTAAATGTATGACTGTGAGTGTGTGTGTGTGTGAGTGTGAGCAGTAAAAGCAAAACCCCGGGACATTGCTCCACTGTGAATGACAGGACAAATGGCACCACTGGTGCAGAATGTATCCAGTGTGAATTAATCTGAAGTGCGTCCCACCTATTATAGCAAGGGGTTATAACCCTTATCCTTGCTTCTCATTAACTTGCCCCGAGATCCACCTAGGGATTTACACTGACAAAATAGTCCCATGTCTTGAGCTTCTGCTGGTCTCATTTCAATCCCGATACCTTGCGATCCAGTCCAAAACATTAATTTGCTTCATTTCTACTTGATCCGTGATTCTAAATTTTGAAAGCTTATTAATGATAACAATAAAAATTGTACAGTATTTATTATTCAGCGTTCCAATCGCCTCTCCCAGATTCCCTCCCGTCTCTGTTCTCCTTGGGTGGGGGGCGGGGGGTGTGGTGAAGGGGGATTGGTGGTAAGTGGGTGATGTGGGCGTGTGGAGTTTGGTATAGGTGAAGATGTGGGAGTGGGCGGGGAGGGGGGGTACATCTTTTGGAGCTGAATTAGCTCCAAGGTGACATATAAACAACAGAATGTTGGAATTGAGTCCAGCCTCTGATCTGGTCTCTAGTCCGAATCCTGAGCCAAGTGAGTCCACAGCATTGCAGGGCATTGCTGATAACAGGCACAGCCCAACCTGGCTCATCGGCAGAAGTTGGAAGGGTAAACACTGGTGCAGGGAATGCTCTCCTGTTAACCAGCTACAACCGCACAGCTTGCCATTGATAGCACTGTCTGGCAAGCTTTCCCGCTGCTTGACCAGCTAGGACCACACTACCTGTTAGGGCTTCGGCTTGCAGGGTTAACAGGAGCTGAGTAGGACGAATCCCTGCCCCCCAGTGACTGGTCAATGAAATAGCAGGAGGGAAGAAAGGATGGCTTCCAAGAATCAAGAGAACCTGGGAACGACTGGATAGATGTAATCTAGCTGTCATCTTCTGGACCTGTCAGGGTTTGGATGAAGAAGGCCCTTTGGCTCATCTGATCTCATTATTCCAGTGTCCCAGCCCGACCGTCTTCCCAGCACAGCATCAACCTGCTTCTTGAATGAGCCATGGCCTCCACAACACAGCCCAGTAATATGTTGGCCACTATGGCGCTATAAGCCCCTATTGCCCAAGTGACCCTCTCTCTCTCTCTGCTTCTCATGTTCCTTTGTACCTAGGGCCGGGGACCCTAGGATAGACCTCGTTGATTATCAGAGTCTGTAAGAGTTGGGCCTCACTGATAGCATAGCTCTGACCCCAGTAGACAGTGATGTGCTGACGTACATTAACCCTAATTGACCAAACCCTTCAGTTGATGTCATCCTTCCTGAATGCTCATCCTGCCCTCCTCCCATCAGGCTGGTCCTTATATGAATCCAGCGTTGACCTAAATGTTCCTAAAACCCCATTAAATGCCAGGATCCACACCAATCATGCTAAGCATAAGTCTGCCCGGTATTTGTTACTGGGACCGGGCTCTCCTGGACGCACTGGGATGAGGAAATAACACATATTAGATTGTTACAAAGCATTTCTATGAATTTCTTCTTCAACAAATCAGCAGGGCTTCTGAGTGGAGTGAAGCCCAATTCCTGCATGCACTGCATTGCGCATCAGGAGCCACCAACAGTGACGTCAGGTAAACAGCCCAGGGCTAGAAACTCCACTGTTTAGCAGGTTTATAGTGGAGGGCACTGTTTATAGCGGATTCCGTGGAAAAATTGCGGCTGCACTTTTCTATTGGCCCAGGTCATAATCCCTTCAAAAATCAATAAATGAATTAATAATTAATAATATTAATTTGGTCAATAATAATTCACACAGTTGACTGCCGTTTTTCGCCCACAAATTATACAATATTATGCAATGTCAATATACAGGCAATTAGGAGGACAGATTGGCACTTTGAGACGTCTTAAAGACATGATAAGGAGCTAAATCAAATGCAAGGATTATTATTATTAAGTTAATGCAACCTTTCCTCATAATTTAGCCCGTTAAGCCCTCTGAAGGGGGAGAGGAGGGTTTGTAAATGATGTGTTTTTTTCTGTGAACGCTTATGCAATAAAATTCCATTTTAATTATTTGCAAGGGGGGTTTTCTTCCTTCTCAGGTGGGGTGCTGGGGGTGTAAATTGTCAGCAAGGACACCAAGAGAAACTCCCTCTTCATTGTGAATAGCGCCCTGAGATCTTGAACATCCACCTGAACTGGAAGGACCTTGACATGATATCTTGTCCGGAGGATGGCATCTCCAACAATGCAGTGTTCCCCTCCATCCCCCCACCCCGTCCAGCGTTGCAGTGAAGCTGACTGTGGGTTTCAATCATAATAATAATCCTTGCATTTGATACATCATCTTATCACATCGTCGAGATGTCTCAAATCGCTTCACAGAATACACTTTAAAGTGAATTGACTGTATTTTTGTGGGCGAATTGGGACAGCCAATTATGGACAGCCGTATCCCAAAAATGTTGTGGATTGAATGACCAAATTATTGCATCTTTTTGGAGGGTTTATTACCACCGGAAAGCGATCCACCTATCGACTAACAACCAGGTTCCTACATCCTGCTAAGTAAACAGAGATATGTGGAGTAAGGAAACTTGCCTAAGGTTTCACCCTGCCCAAGAATCAAACCTCTCACTTGCGAGGTGAACGTGCTACCCACTACAGTACAGGACTTGGCTTTGACTCATACATATTGATAGCCCGTGGCATGTCCTATAGTATACACTGTCAACACCTCATTCATATAAATAAGCCCCTTACTCCACTTGTTCCCATTTATACAATGTGAACAGCATTGTGGAGGATGGTTGAGTTTTTTCTGTGAACTCTTATACAATAAAATTCCATTTTAATTATTTGCAAAGGGGTTTTTCTTCCTTCTCAGGTGGGGGACTAGGGGTGTGAATTGTCAGCAAGGTCACCAAGCAAAACTCCCTCTTCATTGTGAATAGCGCTCTGGGATCTTGAACATCCAACTGAACAGGCAGACAGGGCCTTGACATGATATCTCATCTGGAGGAAGGCATCTTCGCCAATGCAGTGTTCCCCCCACTAATGCTGTGATGAGAGAACATAGGGTGGGTGTTCTGTTAGGATGAGATGAGATGTGTAAACCAACTCTTTATGTGTTTTTGTAATCTTCAGGAATCTCTGATTACTCAACCCATCTCACAATTTATAGAGCCAATCTTCTATAAACCTGTCAGACACAACACCCAATAGTTATTGCTATATTCCCACTGTGAATTTGCACTGAAAATAAAAGTAATAATCTTTGCATTTGATGCACTGCTTTGCACATAATTGTGTAGGAATTCTGTAAGTAATGTGTTAAATAATATCTCAAGTTATATTTGCAATGTTTATATACTTGAGACATATGATTTAATAATAATTATATTTATTCCTTTCAATTGTGTTTCCCCCTCTGATCTGTTCTGAGCAAGAGAAAAAAAAGCCAGGGTATCTGTCCTCATATCTCCTGTAACCTGCTTGAAGTGCAAAGTGCAATGTTCTGCAAAATAAATCAACAACTCATTGCAAACTCTAGATTTGGTGCAATCCTTGTGTCAACACACAGGCTTGAAATTTCCTCTCCTCCTGCCCTCTTAACACCACCCTGCACCTTCCCTCCTCTCCGTCCCCTCTTCTTCCCCTGTTCCCCTTACTCTCCCCGCACTAGGTAACTAAATGTCACTGAACTTTAATTTCCTTGACAAACTGTTCGTACCGAAAATGTGCAGTGATTTTTACAGTCATCCTCCAACCTGTCTTGTTCCAGGAATCTGAACCTCTTACTCACCTCCTGGCAATAATATTACATTGTGTTATCCTGCCAATTACTTTATTTACTTTTAATAATTAACTTCCTTTACACAATCAATCCTGTGTGTGTGTGTCTCTTTCTCATGCTCGCTCTTCTCCCCCTCAAACAAAGTATTTATAAACTACAACCTCACGACCAAGGCAGTTCACAGTGCTGAAATAATGGTGTGTCAGACAGTTTGCTCGGCTTCTATGCTGCTTGCTCTGGGCTGGTTCCTTATTGCAGGTACAATTTATTGATTCTTTTGCAAAGTGGAGTGGGGTGTCGGAAGGGCAGGGGAAGGGGGAAAACCGTGGAGAGACACAGCTAATTCTAAGATATTTTAAGAGGCTGGAACTAAACAGGGAGAGACTGGGTGTGGAGGGTTTGAATGTTGATGGAAGAAAATAAAATTATAATCATATTAATCCTTGCGTTCACTCCAGCAAGGACATCTGAAATAATTTCACAGTATTTTACAGTGACTGTGTGTTTTGTATGTGGACACGTTAACTTTTGGGTAGAAGGATATTTATGTAAAAGCCAGCTGTCAGCCTGGCTCAGTTGGTAGCACTCTTGCCTCTGAGTCACAAAAGCTGTGGGTTCAAGCCCCAGGTCGGGATGTTGAGCTCACATAGTCTAAGCTGGCACTCCAGTGCAATGTTGGGGGAGTGCTGTATTGTCAGAGGTACCGTCCTTCAGATGAGACATTAAATCTTTCATTTAATATAGCACTTTATCACGTCACAACAATTTGCACTTATATAGCATCCCAGAGTGCTTGTCAAGACACCTCAAAGCACTTCACAGTCAATCCACTACTGGATGGAGTGTGTATTATGTAGCCGAAACATAGCAGCCAATTTGCGTGCACAAGACCCCTTTGATACTGGTTGTGGAGAGAGAGGAACATTGACTCGGGAACTGTGAGAATGCTCTACTCATGTGTGAAACAGGACGAGAATATCTCTGGCAGCCACTAGAACCAGAGAGCTAAATTAACCTCCCAGCTGAAGACGAGCAGAATTGAAGCGAATATCATAGCCCCTCTTGTGTACAGTGTGTACTCCAAGCAGAACACAATACAGCTTAACAACCTGCATTTAGGCACCACCTTTCACCTCAGGAGTGCTTCACGTTGGTGATGGGGGAAGGGGTGTGGGGGATGTTGGCAGGAAAGATGACTAAAAGCGCAGTCAAATAGATGTGTTTTGAGGTGTGATTTGAAACTGGAAGGGGTGGTAGGGGATGACTCTGGGATTGAGTTCCACAGAGCATCGGATAGAATGCCAGAAAGCTTGCTTGTCTATGGTATGTCATGAGAATGTCTCAAAGCACTGGCTGGGGGATGAACCCTAAAGTTACAGCATCTCTTCAGAGCAGGACACAAAAAGTGTTGGCCATAGAACAACAACTTGCATTTATACAGCACTCTTCACGCAGGGCAGCGTCTCAGAGTGATTAACAGTGGTGGAGCCAGACACTGATCCGGGGGAAGGTGACTTTAAGCACGGTCGAAGAGGCATGATCTGAAAATGGGGTTTCGGGCGCAGTGGTTGAAAATGCAGCAGCCGATGGTGGAGGGGACGAGGGACAAGCAGGATACCAGAGCTTGATGAGTGGAGGGGCCGAGTGGGGAGTGGGGAGTAAGCAGGTTGGAGAGGTAGGGAGGCATCTTCAGGAAGGGGCCTGATGAGAGTGAGAGGATCTTATCGGTGATCCTTTCTGTGATAGGGAGCCAAAGCAATGCCTGCCGCCTGGACTTCATGAGCTCAAAGAACCACAACCTTCTGACTCAGAGGCAAGCGTTCGACCACTGAGCCAGGCCGCCACATAGATATACATTGCATATGACTTGGTATTCTGCGCAATATGGAATACATTCTGCAGATCCTATAATGTATAGAGCACTCGCCTCGCAAACGAGAAGACCCGTGTTTGAATCCCAGGTGGGGGAACACCTTTGGTAAATTTCCTTACTCCACACACCTCTGCTTACCCAGCCTTAAGTAGGAACCTAGTTGTTATTCAACTAACTAATAACCTGGTTGTTATTCAACTGGCAGATCACTTTCTGGGAGTAATAATTATCCCCCCAAATAATTTGGTCACTCAATCCGCGACCGTTTGTGGGACCCTGCCATTGGCGCGATTGGCTGCCGCATTTCATCCTCAAAATACAATATAGTTTACAATATATTCCGTGAGGCAACTTGAGAGGTCTCAATGATGTGATAAGGCACTTTATCAAATACAAGGATTATTATTATTATGAGAGAGGATTTATAATAAAGTGGGAGTAGATGTGAGTGACCCCAGAGAGGATGAGTGAAGGTCATGTGCAACTTTTATTACAACAACAACAACAAGATTCCATTTATAGAGTGCCTTTCACGTCGGGAGGATGTCCCAAGGCGCTGGACAGTTGGGTCAGGACCCGAGCAGGGGGGAATGGTCAGGTGAGGGGAGGGAAGGGAGAGAGCGAGGAGCTGAAGGCATGGTCAAAGAGAAAGTCTTGAGACCGGCCTTGAAGGAGGAAAGGGAGGAGGCAAGGCGAAGGCACTGGGGAATGGAGTTCCAGAGCCTCGGGGCTGAGAGGCTGAAGGCCCGGCCACCAATGGTAGGGCGGTTGGGGCGGGGGATGTGGAGCAGACCGGAGCCAGAAGAACGGAGGGTACGGGCAGGTAGGTAGGGGGATAGTAGGTCAGAGAGGTAGGAGGGAGCAAGGCCGTGAATGGCCTTGTAGGGGAGGATGAGGATCTTGAATTCGATCCTCTGGGGGATGGGGAGCCAGTGGAGGCGAGCGAGGGTGGGAGTGATGTGGTCGCGATGCCTGGTGCGGGACAGTACACGAGCTGCAGAGTTCTGAATGACCTGCAGCCTGTGGAGGGAGGTGCCGGGAAGGCCGGCGAGGAGAGAGTTCCCATAGTCCAGCCTTGAGGTGATAAAGGCGTGGACCAGAGTTTCAGCAGCGTGAGGGGTGAGGTAGTGCCGTAGTCTGGCGATGTTTCGGAGGTGATGGAAGGCGGTGCCAGTTGTGGCGCAGATACGAGGAAGAAAGGACAGCTCAGGGTCGAACAGAACACCGAGGTTCCTGATGGCTTTGAGAGGTGGAGAGTGCAGCCTTGGATTCTGATGCTGTCAGTGCTGAGGTGCGGAGGCGCTGACGTGAGCCAATCAGGAGGGCCTCAGTTTTGCACACTTTGAGTTGAAGAAAGTTGTCTCTCATCCAGGACTCGATGTCGGACAGGCAGCTGTCAGCACATCAGTGGTCGTGTAGTTGAGGGTAAAAGAGGAAAGGTACAATTGGGTGTCATCCGCATACATGTGTGTGTTTTTATTAGTGTGTGTGTTTGTGATTCATCTCAGGCACAGGTTCAGACCATACTGAGGAGAATCATCAGTGTCTGTTCACGGCTAAAAACTACACTGAATTAGCAAACAGTTTAAAGGTAACTCACCAATGCACTGGGACACACACAGACATCTCCGCTGGTCGGCTGACTCCATTTTTTGGGGGTCACCTGGTGTCTGACACATGCGGAAACCCATCACCATGCTTAAGAATATCCAAACCAAACTGAGAATTCCATGTTGAGGGGTTGGGGAGCGGAAGTTGTGGGCAATATTGACTGGGTCATTACTCCTCCGGAACCTTCCACTACCCCGTCCCCTTCTCGCCCTCACACCCCGGCCCATACCCACCCCTCTCTCCATACCTTCGAACCTGTCTCCCCCATCTTCTCTCATCACCACCGTAACCCACATGAAACCGACCACCTGCTCCCTCGACCCCATCCCTACCCCTCTCCTTATCTCCCAGCTCCATCTTCTTGCGGCCCTACTCATAGACATCATAAACCTCTCCCTGTCCACTGTCACCATTCACCCTCTAAAAATGGCCGGCATCGTTTTTTCACTTAAAAAACTCTCACTGGACCCATCCCTGTTCTCAAACTACTGCCCCATCTTCAACCTCTCTTTCCTTTCCAAGGTCCTGGAATGAGTTGTTGCTTCCAAGCTTCGCACCTTCCTTTTCCGACACTCCCTTCATATACCCTTCCAATCAGTTTCCGTGCTTCCCACAGCACAGAAACAACTTTGATCAAAGTGACAAATGACATTTTGTCCATCTACGTCAAGGGCTGTCTCTGCCTCCTCGTCCTCCTTGACCTCTCTGCTGCCTTCAATACTGTTGACCGCTCTATCCTCTAGCCCCCACACCATCACGTGTGGTATCCCTCAAGGCTCTGTCCTTGGTCCCCCCCCTTTTCAATATCTATATGCTCCCTCTTGGTGACATGGGTGTCAATTACCTCAAGTATGCAGATGACACCCAACTCTATCTCTTTGCCACCATCCTCGACTCCAGGATCACTGCTGTACTGATAGAATGTCTATCAGACGTTAAGTCCTGGATGAGAGCTAGCTTTCTACAGTTGAATGCCAACAAGTCCGAGGCTCTCCTGATTGGTTCCCATAAACGCCTTCACACCTTAGGCACTGACAGCATCACCATCCAACGATGCACTCTACAGCTCACGGCGTCTTGTTTGACCCTCAACTATCTTTTCTAGCCCACAGCCATGCCATGACCCGCCTTGCTTTCCCCCACCTCTGCAACATTGCCCGGCTCTGCCACTATCTCACAGGCCACCGAGACTCTCATATATGCATATATAACATCCAGACTAAACTATGCAAACTCCCTGATTGTCGGCCTCCCCAACTCCCCCCTCCATAGGCAGCAGCTCATCCAGTACTCTGCAGCCCATGTTGGCTCCCGCACCAGGCTCCGCAACACTATCACCCTGATCCTCACCAGTCTCCATTGGCTTCCCATCACATAGAGGATGCAGTTCAAGATCCTAGTCCTCACCTTCAAAGCCCTGCATGGTCTTGCTCCCCCCCCTACCTCTGCGACCTTCTATCTCCCTACCAACCTGCCCGCTCCCTCCGCTCGGCCTGCTTCACGTCCTCCCGCGGGCGGGCCTTCTGTTTCTTTTGGTGTTGTGGGTTTCCTCTCATCACAAGATTGATTTGAATGAAGAAGAGCCTTCAGCCCACTTTATGTCATCTCTTCCTCATCGTTACGGAGTATGGTCATTTTCACTTCTATTCAACTGCATTTTCCCCAGCGCCTCGGGGTAGTCACTTATATGTGAAATGCATGTGCAAAATATTTCTTAAATCAGCCTCCAAGCCCTTGATTGTTCACATGTTGTGTGTGTGAGGCTCTGACTGTTTATATGTTGTATGTGCGAGGCTCTGACTGTTCACATGTGTGTGCGAGGCGCTGACTGTTCACATGTAGGAGTCTGGGCACTCCAAACTCACCCTCACTCTTACTCAAAGTATCTTTTGCCCACAGCTAATTACTGAGCAGATCGATCAGATTACTGGGTGTCATGAGTTGGAACAACGCACTGAGATATACGCTCTGCTCCAGAACACTGCCGACAAGATGCGAGCCATACGCATAAGAGGTACACACACACTCGCACGCTACATACATATACATACACCACACACATACACATACGCATACCACACACAAACACACACCACCCCCACGCATACCACACGCACCAATAAAAATACTGAGATATACACACAAACAGATGTATACACAGACAGATATATATACAGAGATATATACACGCCAAGATCAGAGATTGACATACACACGCAGAGATATACCCATTGAGATATACATAGAGAGAGAGAGAGAGAGACATATAGATATATATATATATACATACATACAGAGAGATATACACAGAGATATACACACACACAGATTATATACATCTTTCGGGGCGTTAGAGATCTTTAACATCTACCTGAACAGGCAGATAGGACCTTGGTTTAAAGTTTCAACAGTACAGCATCTCCAACAACGCAACACACCACTAGCACTGTATTGTAGTGTCACCTTAGACTATTGCAATTCCAGGTCTTGATGTGGGGCTTGAACCCACATCCTCCTTCTGTGCTGTCAGATTCTATGATTCTATGATAACCTTCTGACTCAGAGGCGAAAGATGCTGCCTTAACAGACATCACAGTATCAATAAGGGTATAACTTACTGAGCAAGGCATTGCTGCGGTTTTGTTTTACAGCCTGCCACAAGGTCAGCCCAAAGAACTGTAGCATTCCTTTGGTACCCAACAATGGAGGCCTGATGTGTCTGACCCTCAATAAGACACGTTACTGCAAGCCAATGTGTAACCAGGTACAGAGACTCATGCTCCGACAGCCAGACAGCTTCTCTTATTACAATTATGTGGAGTCCTGTAATGTTTAGGTTAGAGCACTCGCCTTGCAAGCGAGAGGACCAGTTTCCTTACTCCACACGCCTCTGTTTACCCAGTAGGAAGTAGGAACCCAGTTTTTAGTCAATTGGCTTTCCAGTATAATAATCCCTTAAAAAAATAATAATTTGGTCACTCAATCCATGACTGTTTATGGGACATTGTTGTACACAATTGGCTGCTGCGCTTCACCCCAAAAATAGTCAATCCATTTTGCAGTTTATTCTATGAAGCGCTTTGAGACATCTCAGTAACATGATAAGACGCTACGTCAAATGAGAGAATTATTATTATTATTATTCTTAAAGCTGTAACCTCCCAAGTCTTGGGCTTAGGTAAAGCTGATGTCAATGCAGTACACAATGAGCAGTGAGTCACTCACACCTCTCTGGGAGCCCTGTCACTGATCGTAGGACGGGACCTCATAATGAGGGCAAAACGGACTCGGAAAGAAACTGGGAAGATTCCCTTTCTGGAAGGGAGTGATAGGAATTTGGAACGCACGTCTTGGTATCATCTGAGGGATTTAACAGAGAGACAGAGAATTACAGAAATTCCTTGTTCACTGGATGTTCCAACTCTTCCCAAACAAGCTGTACATTATCCAGAACTCTGCAGCTCATATCCTCTCCTGCACTAAACTTCATGAACTGATCACCCTCTTCCTCGCCTGGCTTCATTGGCTCCACATATCCCAGAGGATCGAATTCAAGATCCTTATCCTCACTTTACAGCCCACCATGATCTTTCTTCTCCTTACCACTGTGACCTATTAAAACTTCGCCATCTACCCATTCCCTCCATTCTGCAGGCACTGGCTCCACATCCCCCGCCCTGTCTGCTCCATTATCGGTGGTCCGACCTTTAGTCTCTCTGCTCCCAACCCCTGGAACTTCTGCCCCTTCACCTCGGCCCCTCCGTTGCTTCCTTCAAGGCCCGGCTCAAGACCTTCCTTTTTGCCCATGCCTTCGGTCATCTTCCCACCTCCAACCACCTTGCCCTCCACTCCTCTCTGATCCTAAACCACAGCTCGGATGCAGACCCTTCATTGTCCTCTTGACCTGAAATGCACTATATAAATCAATTTATTGTTGTTATTTGGGGAGTAAAGTGCTAAGGAGGTGACCAGGCAAGTGGGATTAGGAGTGGCTGTAGTTGGCTGTTGAATGAGCTGTGGCGGAACTGGCCATACCATCCTGTCCCTGAATCCCTTAGTTCTCTGTTCCTTGCTGTGCCTTTCCAAGGAGATCAAAGTTATTTCTAGATTTTGGGTGTCTGATACACACAGAAATCCATCGCCGTGATTGAAAGTATGCAAACCAGACTCAGAATTCTGCATATGTCTACCACCTGCACATGGAAATTTACCTGTATCTGCAATGGAATATGCACTCTCTCCCTGGAGGAATGCGTCCTGTTTACCTAATTCCAGAGAGGATAAGGCGCAATGTTGATAAGAGCCAAGCCATGTCTGGCAAACCACATAGCTTGCCATTGAAAGCACTGCTTTCAAGCTTAAACAAGCTTTCCCACTACTTGTCCACCTAGGACCACTGCTAGGCTTTGGTTTGCAGGATTAACAGGAGCTGAGTGGAATGATTCCCTGCCCCCAGTAACAGGTTTGCCCGTCCAAGTCCTTCCGAAGAGCCAGGCTCGAAAGCACGATTAAAATACAAAACTGAATGGAGGAATCTACCCTCTCCCCCGGCCTTTTTATTTATATTTTTAAATCCCCTCAAATAAAAGTGTGCTGACTGCTGATCAGCCTGTGAACACTTGAGTGTAGGGAGTATGAAGTGAGAGCAATGGCGCCATCTAGGGTCATTTAAATAAAAAAGAATATGGTGAAGTATTCAACCAAAGGGATTAATTACCCCCAGCTAAGAGAGTGTGTGTCTGTTACGACCAGACAAATACAGTGTCTGTCACCCACACACACATACAGACACTCACTGAGAAAAATGTGTCAGTGGGGGTAGGGGTTGCAATATTTGGGGTGGGGTGGCTCTGTGTGGGGAAGTATGTGTGTGTGTGTGTTTGTGGGGAGTGTCAGTGTAAGGAGGGGCGCAGTGTGAGGGGGGCAGTGAGCGAGGCTTTGATTGCGGCTAATTTGGCTCCTTGTTCCCCAGGAGGCTGACTTTAATTTCCTGCGGAAAAGCCGTCTATTTGAGAGCTGTGGAGAGTCTACCCAATATCAGTGGACAACACAGTACGTGGGAGGAAGCAGGCTGGCTCAGTGCTCAGGTAAGTCTAAGAGCCACACACAGGGTAGCATCTCAGAGGGCTTGAGACCGAGCACAACACCGAGATGGGGGGGAAGGGGTGATGCCATACCACAACACACACCACACCACAGTACACCACCTCACACCACGTCACACCACCTCACACCACGTCACACCACCTCACACCACACCACAAAACACTGCAACAAACTGCAACACAAGGCTTGAATCCCAACCTTCTGACTCAGAGGGAGGAGTGCTACCTCTTTGCCAAGCTGACACTTTGTGAGTTCCAGTAAGTTCAATGGATGTTCCCGTCTCCCCACAGTTACCAGGATGAATTTGCATGTGAGCGGAGATGCTACGGCCTATTTCCGCAGTACCTGTCACCAGGCTTTGCTGGATTACGAGAACAGCAAGATGATGATGAATAACTTTAAGAAAGAACTTCAGGCCAAAGGGATTGTGGGCAAAATCAAAAACAGAACCGAGTGTCTTATGTGTGGGAACATTTCAGTCTGAACTCCCCCCACTTCCCCACTATGTCCACTCCCCTCACCACCTTGACCCCTTCCCCTCAACCCACAGCTCCCCCTACCCCCCCTCCCCGACCCCACCCCTCCCCACTCTTGGCCTCTACCAGTCCTTTTCCGTCCTCAACCCTCCTTGACTCTGCCTCCATCTGTCCACCCTCTCTGGCCCCATCCCTTTCTCCGTGCCCACCCCTCCCTCGCTCTGCCCCCACACCCCTGCTCAGTCCCCACTCACAGCTCCCCAGCTTTCTGTGGGTCACAGAATCCCACTATGTCGTGAAAAACTCTCATCTGTCTTTTCCGTAGACTGAAGCATTCATCATTAATAGCATAACATTGAAAAATCAACTAAATAAACACTGTGTAAATTAAGGCATTTTTTCTGTGGTTTATTGCAGATGATGAACAAAATAATGAAATATAAAATATAAGAGGCCAGGGAGCTAGAAATTGGTCTTTCTGGTCCTGTAAATTCCAATGTTCCCAATAACAACAACAAATTGCACTTATATAGCGCCCTCCACACTGGGTAGAGTCTCAGAACGTTTAACAGTGGCGGAGCCTGACTCCGAACCGGGGTGGGGAGATGACCGTAAGCAGGGTCGAGAAGGAAGGTTTCCAGGCGGGACTTGAAAACGGGGAGAGAGGGGGCAAGGCGGAGAGATTGAGGGAGAGTGTTTCAGATATTCGGGGCGTAGTGGCTGAATGCGCAACCTCCAATGGTGGAGTGGAGGGTGCGAGGGACAAGCAGGAGGCCGGTGTCAAATGAACGGAAGTGCCGGGTGGTGGATTGGGGAGTGAGAAAGTTAGAGAGGTAGGGAGGTGCCAGGGATTTGAACACGAGCGTGAGGATCTTGAAGTCGATCCGTTCGGTGAAGAGGAGCCAATGGAGCCTGGCCAAAACTGGCGAGATGGGGGTACAGAGTTTGGTCCAGGTCAGTAAGCGGGTGACAGAGTTCTGAATGAGCTGGATTTTTTGAATAGAGGAACTGGGGAGACCGTTGAGGTGTGAATTTGAGTAATCCAAGCGGGAGGTGACAAACACATGCAAGAGGGTTTCAGCTGCATTTGGGGTAAAGTACGGTCGGAGGCGGGCAATGTGGCAGAGGGGGAAGAAGGCGGTCCTGGTCAGGGATCGGATGTGGGGGAGGAAGGACAGCTGAGGGGTTGATCTGGATGCCTAGATTGCACACTGGTTTGGTGAGTTTGAGGGAGAGCTCAGGGAGGTAAAGGAGTAACCACAACAACTTGCCCGAGGCTAGGAGCAGATTGGCAAAAGCCAAAGCTTTGGGACCCCAGAGTGTGTGTTGGGTCAGGGTCAACAGTCAACAGTGGATCCACTGAGCACATCCCTCTGGAAAGGGAGATAAGACAAGGATGCCCATTGTCACCCATTTTATTCAATAACCTTTCGTATTAGGGTATGCGTGCCTACAAAATACACAGACTACAAAATATTACTTTACAATAATAACAATATGAATAATATTTCTTGGATTTGATCTAGCATCTTAACACATCATTAAGCTGTAATCTAAGAGCTTCACAAGATTTACTGTCAAGTGTAGTGATGTATATTTTGTAGGCAAACATGGAAGCCAATTTGTGCGCACAGTAGTGTCCCACAAACATCAATTAAATGAATGACCGATTTTATTTGGGGGATTGTTGACCAGGACACCAGGGAGAGAGAAACTCCCTTCTCTTTTTGAATTTACCCCCACGGAATCTTTAACATCCATTTGGTTTAACGTATCATCTGAACGACGTCACCTCTGACAATGCAGCACTCCCTCAGGCCTGCTTTAGGATAATAATAATAATAATAATAATAATAATAATAATAATAATAATAATAATAATAATAATAATAATAATAATAATAATAATAATAATAATAATAATCCTTGCATTTGATATAGTGCCTTCTTGTGTCTTCGAGACGGCTCAAATAGCTTCATTAAAAGCCACAGAGAAAAACAAAAATCCCCTTCACTTTAATCCAATTTATGATCCTTTGTTGAAAAACGGGAAGCAAAGTTATTCATAGGAAATTCCAAGGGGGAGGAGGATATCAACAGGTGACACTCAACACCTGGGAGATTTCAGCCCAAAGCAATCTTATACAGCTCGTTCCAAGGTAAAGTTGTTATTTTAGCTTTGAACAGGTCACTCCCTATTCTGAACTCATTCCGGGAAACAGTGTAACTGAACCAAGATAGCTGCTCAACTTTAAGCAAAGCATTGCGCGTAATGGTAAGGCTCCAGCAGTCACCCCAATGTACACTCTGGGGTCACCAAGCCTTGGCTCCTGCCAACCTGTGCCTGATACTTTTTGGAATTAGGTAAATAGGATACTTCCTTCCAGGGAGAGAGAGAGAGAGAGTCCTCGTTCCATTCCAACAATCTATCTCTGGAAATTCCACGTGTAGGTGGGCTGCATGGAATTCTCAGTTTGGTTTGGATACTCTTAAACACGGTGATGGGTTTCCACATGTATCAGACACCCGGCTGACCAAAGAAACAAAAAAGGGGGCATCGATTTAAGATAGTTAGTAAATGATCAAAATGGGGCAGAATCTATATTAGCTTTCAAAAGGGATCTAGATAGATATCTAAATAAGAGTAAAATACAATGGTATGGGCGAAAGGGTAGGTAGATGGGACTGAAAGGATTGCTCTTCTTGGGGGTGGGGGTCAGCCAGGAATCTGACACATGCGGAAACCCATCACTATGCTTAAGAGTATCCAAACCAGCCTGAGAATTCCATGCCACCCTACACATGGATATCCCAGAAATAGATCGTTGGAATGGAATGCGCACTCCCTCCCTGGACACATCTAATGCCTACCTAATTCTGGAAAGTACTGGGCACAGGTAAGGAGTATTAGGTACAGGTCAAGGCTTGGGGACCTCAGAGTGTGTGTTGGGGTAACTGCTGGAGTGTAAACGGTTAAAACTGCATAGCTTGCCATCGATAGCACTTTCTGGCAAGCTTTCCCACAGCTTGTCCAACTAGGACCACTCTACCCGTTAGAGCTTTGGCTTGCTGAGTGGGAGGTTTTGCCTTCTTTCCGTGTTGTCAATCCACTAATTTCTTTGCTAACACCAAACAGTGAAAGAGGCACATGATATTGCATGATCGGGATATTGTGGGGTAATTCATAATAATATAATAATCCTTGCATTTGATATAACGCCTTATCGCATTGTTGAGACGTCTCAAAGCGCTTCACAGAATATACTGTGAAGTGGAGTGACTGTGTGTTTTGTGGGTGAAATGCGGGAGGCAATTACACGCAGCAGCGTCCCACAAACTGTCGTGAATTGAGTGACCAAATTTATTTTGATTTTGGTGGGATAATTACCCCCGGAAAGTGATCCGCAATTAGATGTGAGTGGTGTGGGCATCTGTAAATCAATAGTGAGTGAGGTTAATCTATAGTTGTCAACTGTTTTAATGCATTTGATCGAAAGCACTGTGAGGATAAAACGATTTTATACTTCACATTGATAAAAAAAATATCTCCATAAAACAAATGTTAACCTGTCGAGCTGCATGCCACAGGTAGGCATGATCAGACACGACTATTAATGGACTGTAGGGATGTGTAGGGGATCGGGTGCAGAGATTCACTGCGTGGAAAGCAATTGGATTCACTTAAGACATTTTAAAGGCACAAAATGATATTCAGAGCGAACTTGATACTAAAACACTGTGGATTTCCTTGCACCTCAACATGAAAGTGGAGCCCTGTAGTGTAGTGGTCAGAACACTCACCTCACAAGCGAGAGGACCCGAGTTCAATTCCCGGGCAGAACAAAAACAGACGGCAACAATGGGGAGTGATCTGTTCAAAGCAAAAACAACTCTGAATGAGCTGTACAAGGTTGTTTGAGCTGGAATCTCTCTGGTGTTGAGTGTCTCCAGGTGATATCCTCCTCCCCTTTGGAAGTTCCTACAAAAACTTTGACTTCCGGGCTTTCAGGAAAGGATTATTAAAGGAATTAAAGTGAAGGGGATTTATTTTTTCTTTGTGGGCTTTTACACACGTTCGTGATCTCAACAGTACAAGATTCGGGCTGGCAAACTCCAGGCTTTGATGTCAGTCTGCCCAGGGTTGTGGAGGCCTGTAGGGTTAGCGCTCTCGTCTCACAAGTGAGAGGACCCAGGTTCGATTCCCGGGGGCGTCAAAAATTCTTACTCCAATCTTGTACAGTTCATTCCCGGGCAGGACTAAAATCCTTACTCCATATGCCTAGCAGTAAGTAGGAACCCATTTGTTAGACAATTGGTTTTCCAGGGGAAATAATAATAATAATCCCTTCAAAAATATAATGTAATAATAATATGGTCACTCAATCCACGATTGTTTGTGGAACAATGCTATGTACAATTGGCTGCCACACTCCTCCCACAAAATATATACAATCAATTAACCTGCTGTTGATGGGTTTGCGCATGTGTCAGACACCCAGCTGAACAAAAAAAGTTAATCCTCTCCAAATATCTATCCAATTCCGTGTTTAATGTAGTGGCCGAAGGAAGGAGGGAGGGAGGGAGGGAGGATGGGAGGGAGGGAGGGAGGGAAGGAGGGAGGGCGGAATTGTGTTCAGTTATTGGGACACAAACCCACAAAGCTATCATTGATTTCTTGTGCTTTTGGCACCCAACACTAGTGCTCCAGGACTCTAGCAAGCATGAAGGGCGCTATATAAATGCAAGTTGTTGTTGTAGTGAGCAGGGCCCTTTGGATGCACCTAATATACAGAGAGAGTGTGAATTGGCCACAAACCAGGCAGCTCATGTCAGTGAGAGCATCAGCCAGCCACCATATGAGCAAGTGACCCTGGATCCCTCTCCAGGTAATGACGATTGTCACTTTGGAAGTAACGTGAGTAACGTAAGCAACAAAAGCAGTGCTGAACATTTCTGTGGCTGTGAACCAAGCAACACAGCAGAGCCTTAAACATCATCCGTCATTCGGATGAGACACTAAACAAGCTCCCGTCTGCCTGTTCAGGTGAACGTTAAAGATCCCATCG